CCGCATTGCATGTTCTTATTAAACGCACACAACTCATTTCTTTCACAGAAGAATTGACTTCTAATTCGTTTTCAAAGCCTCTTAAAAAACTTAACGCTTTCATTGATTCACAGGGTGTTTTACGTGTTGGAGGACGTCTTACCTACTCTAGTCTAGCGTATGATAAAAGGCACCCTATTTTACTTCCCCGCCAAAGTAGACTGACCATTTTGTTAATTAACTTTTTTCACATCAAATATTTACATGCTGGATTGCGTACAGTTCAATTCCTTTTGAGTCAACGGTATTGGATTTTATCCTCACGTCGCGCTATACGCTCAGTTTTATCAAAATGTATCAAGTGTTGGAGAATATCTCCTATACCACTACAACCCCCGATGGGAAATCTTCCTAGTCCTCGAATCTCACAGGTGAAGCCCTTCTCGCATGTCGGAATTGATTATGGCGGTCCATTTTCCATTACTATGAGCCGTTATCGTGGATCGAAAACACAGAAAGCATAAATATGCTTATTCATTTGCATGGCCACTAAGGCTATTCACCTGGAGCTAGCCTCCGACCTAACAAGCGAAGCCTTTCTAGCCGCCCTTCGTCGTTTCGTGTCTCGTCGTGGGCGAATTTCCGATTTATACTCAGATCGAGGTACTGATTTTATGGGATCATACAGACAATTTTCCGAAATAATGCAATCTGTACCCAGGTAGCACATGACGACTATATGACGTCTAATTGACGGCATCACATTCGGCCAAAAGACGTCTTTATTTCAACATAAGCGACGTCCTAATGACGTAAGTAAGACACATCCAAATGACGTCATATTTGAAGGTCTTTTAGACGTCAGTATGTGTTTTCAAATTGGACCTTCAACTGACACTACTGACCAATTTCCGACGTCAATAAGACGTCTTTTTTTATATAAAATTTTGGGTTTTATGGTTATAATCTGGTAAGGTAGGTAATCATTTGTGCTAAAAAAATTGCTATGAATAAAGATTTTATTGACGAAATAAATTCACAAGGTTTTACATAATATGTATAATTGAAAATTTAAAACACTGTACAAAGTACAGCGTTCACCATATTCTATCGGAGGAAAAAATTCAAAAATTCAAGACACTGTTTAAAATGTTTGATTGACGTTTCGGGGACTATATCTGCCACATTATCAAAAAACAAGTCTTCACATTACTTCATGAAAAGAAGGTGTATTTTTCTTAGTCTCCGAAACGTCAATCAAATATATACAGGGTGTCCCAAACTCGATGGCCTATTAGACGTTTCTGGAGAACGGGACATAGGATTAGTTTGAGAACTTGGTTACTCAAGTCGTTGCTCTTGGTCTATCGATCTGAAATATTTTCAGCAATGCAGCGTTGTTGCTTATACCAGAAAGTAGCAGCATCTCTTTCATTTCAAATGAGACACCCTGTATATTATCTCATTTTCCGATTCTCCCTGGAGAGCATTTCATTGACCTATCACACTCGGGGTCTAGTAGTGATAATAACAGAGATACGGGTGTGAAAAATCGGGATTTTCCAAGTTCAGGAATTGTTTGTGTCGAACTATCCATGATTGGCAAAACGGTTTACATTTCCCTATCCAGATTTTTCATTCACTTTCAATTGAAATTTAATTGACATAGATACAGGGTGGTCAGAAATCTCAATTTTGAACCACCCTGTATTTGTTTCAATTAAATGTATGTAGATAGAGAATGAAAAGTTGAGATAGGGACATGTAAACCGTTTCGACCAATTATGAATAGTACGCAAAAAATTCCTGAACTTGGAAAATCCCGATTTTTCACACCATGTATCTCTGTAACTATCACTACTAGGCCCCAAGTGTGATAGGTCAATGAAATCAGCTCTCCAGGGAGAATCGGAAAATGAGATGATATACAGGGTGTCTCATTTGAAATGAAAACTATGCTGCTAATTTCTGGTATAAGCGGCAACACTGCATTGCTGAAAATATTTCAGATCGATAGACCAAGAGCAACGACTTGAGTAACCAAATTTTCAAAATAATCCTATGTCCCGTTCTCCAGAAACGTCTAATAGGACATCGAGTTAAGGACACCCTGTATAGAAGTATCATTCGAATTTTCAATAAAAAAAAAGTTACTGAAAAGTTGAATCATTCAACTATTGGAAATTCAATTTAGTGGACGCAGTAACCTATTGGGGTGAAATAATTTGTTTGCCTATATTGCCCTTTTACACTTGTATAGATTTTCCTTATTATTTTTTCAATGTTCAGACTGAAGAAGGTTACACAATGAAATGTCAAGAAAAGTTGTTCCTCTACAAAAACCACATTTAAACAATAGTAATACATATAAATATAATGGCCCTCCCTCCAAAATACTCAGTGTTGTTTCACAGATATATTATTATTATACTATATTGATTGATCTGGAACACATCATAGCCCAAGAGTTTGTGGCCTCTTTTTCATGACATGTAGGAATTTGGCACAGTGGTAACTTATTCAGGATAGGTATGCAAATTATCATTAAACATTGACAGAAGAATCTGCCTTGAGGTAAAATTCTTGAAAATACGTAATCAAAACGAGATTACATTTGCATTGTAAATTTAATACACATCTTGGGTATAAAAATTATTTGAAAATACATTAACTTTGGGATACTTTGAAATTTTCAAATGATTTCTATAACTGAGATGTGTGTTTGATTCACACTGAAAATTCTGATTAAATGTATTTTAGAATGTTTGCACAAATAAGGCAGACCCATATCTGTTAATGTTGCTATGTATGCCTAGTACCTCCTGTAAGTCAGGAAAAGTTTCAATTGCTTATTTACCTATTCTAAAGGTTATACCACGCAAAATTCCCGAGTGAATCAAACACGTTACGAGCTCTTGGGCTATGAACTTATTTTAAAAATCGAAATAATTTAAAGCAACACTTTACAGACCTGTATGAAGCAAAGGAATACATACATAATTTGAACCATTCGGTTCATTGGGAAAAACCACACATTTTGACACTAAATCTGAAATATCAAACGATTTTAATTCTGACAAACTACTGACTACATAAATATTCAAATCTTTAGAGTCTATTGGGTAAGTATATAAAGACTCATAACATGGCAAAAATTGTTTACCAATAATATAAATCTTTTCATCCAAAGTGCTACATATGTTATGTATCTCTACAACAATACTTTCTTTCGTCATACAGTAAGCATCTGCACATGAATAAGATTTGCTAGTGAAAGTTAGATTCATATAGGTTATTTTTTTATATTGCTTTGCAAATAGTTTTTCAGTTATGGGACCATTATCATGTTCACCATAGAATACAATATTTTGTTCAAAGTGAGGCTTTGCATATATAAAATTTCTTTCACTCAATCTACGATAAATTTGTTGCAAAGGTTTCAGTGGAGATCTAACAAAGCTTTTGATAATCCCTAAAAAATTCTCGAATGGAAATGCAGAAAATGAATCTAATGTACCATATAGAGCAGCCTCTTTATCCAAATGACATAAAATATGTGTATTATATACATAAAATTCACAACCATAAATAAATTCACAATGTTTTACAAACATATTTAACAAAATACCCGCATTCTTTGCACCAAAACTTGACAAATGCCTAGAAGAAACTAATATTGAAATGCCAACATGCAACAATAAAAAATGTACAAAAACTGATTTGTCAACATTCCCCCCAAGAACGAATGGCCCAAAATATAATAAAAAGTTTCGAAATTCTGTAGCTTTCCAATAACTTATCTCTGACAAACTTCTAGGCTTTCGATTGAATTCTGAAGGGATGAATGTCCTCAAAAACATCATATTTTCACTAATTTTATTGATATACAGATGCCTTAACCTGATATGTAAACCACCTGAAATCCAGGTAACAAGAAGTTTTTTCATTACTCCCAAACATACAGCATGCATGTAATCGATAGTGAATGATGAAACAAGACCTATGTTCAATTCAAGTAGAGGTGATTTTTCTCGATGATGTTCTTCATCTAGCTCTGAGATAAACTGCTCATCGGTTCGAAGCAAACTTGTTGTCCCTTTCAAAATCACTTTTCGATGTTTATGGTAATAAACACCGGATTCCCAACACTTGTCACAGGAGGAATATCCGCCATGAGATTTTATGCCCTTTAGATAAGCTTTGGCAGGAGAGTCACAAATAAAATTCAGTATTTCAACAAAATAAACTCTGGAGTGCAAGTGGAAGCCAGTTACTTTCAAATGATTAGCTTCTTCAATAAAACTTTTCAAGAAAAGATTAAGTGGAATTGGCTTTGATTTTCCACAGAATATTCCAATTGCAAATGGTACACACTCAAAATTTCTTACTAATCCTAAAATTGGCCAGAACTGTAAATTTGTACTAGAAAATAAGGGAAGTCCATCGATATTTATACTGAGCTTCAATCTCTCATGAAGACAAGTGGAAGGAATCAAATTTTTCAAAACATTTTCAATTCCAAAGTGGCAATATTCACCATTATCTAATTGTTTTAACGAAATTTCTCTAGGAGTTCTCAATAATGTTCTACTATCTAATGGAAGTTGAGGATGCAATGGAGCAAGAATTTTCAAAAGACTAGTTATGGAGTTATGACAGACTTTTGTTTCAATGGCCCAGTGCCTGAGCTGTGATACCAAATCTGTGTCAGCATTCAAAGAACTAGACTCTTTCAGTGAACTTTTAGAAAAAGTGAAAATATTCGTAGGGGAATGACTTCTCTCCTCAGATGTTTCTGGATGATTACATACTTCTGGTTGTAATCCTAATCCAATGTCAGAAAATTGAGAATCACTATCAATCATAAGCAAACTTTGATCATTATTTTCAGCCTGATCCTGAACACTTTTGATTATACTGTTGTCACTTTCACAATCAATATTACTGTTATTACTTTCACAATCAATATAACTGTTTTCCAAGCTATTAAATATTTTTTCATTCTCTTCAGCAACCCTTCGATAAAATTGTCTCCTCCCCACATTTGCCTTCAGATGCTTTCTTTTATACATTATTTTTCAAATTAAAATTGAATTCGAAGAAAATTGAGAAAAATATCAGTATCTAGTAATGGATATGAGCCAACACAAACATGACCTTTTCAAAAATATCGGTAAATAAAACTTAAATCCAAGTACTAAGTGATATTCCTCTGATTGCATCTCATTGTGTCTTATTTCTCGCCCTCATCCTGTCTGGTGCATGTTTAATCCAAAGTTTTATTGTGTCTTCAACATCACTTATTGTAGACTCTTCAGACTTGACTGCTCCTAAAACGTGATAATATATTGGTTAATAACTGTATACAGGTGGTCAAACATTTTCTTTCCATGAAATCCAAAAGAACATGTGATTTTGGTACTTACTTAACAAAGCTTTATTAATATTTAGCTCATAAAATGGTTCCTTCGATCGCTTTCCATAATAGCTGAAGTTTGATGCTAAATCATCTGTCAGTAATTCTCTCAACACTTTATGGATCCTCAATTTAATGTTTTTACCCCCCAGTGAGCCCAAATGTGTTACCTGAAAAAAAAAACAGTTTTTCAATTATTTCCCAGGTCTTCAATTCAGTTCTGATATGTCTGCAACAATATTTTTCTAAAATTGGAACACTTGTGCTCTTTCAAATATTCATCAACACCATTTTGATGATTTCAAACATAAAGTTTACTCATGTTAGTCATGAGGAAAACTCATGTACATATTTAAACAGTTTGCAATTTTTTAAATCGGATGGTTTCATTTTCAATTTCAAATATAGAAACTTTTATCAACAATGCTTACATGCAAAGAGATCATCTCACTTCCTATATCTATTTTTTTTATAGAAAATTCAGAAAAAATGATATATGCTGTCTGCAATAACATTCAATATGCTTCAACATGAGTATTTTTGGGGAACTCTCAGGCATAGGTACTTTGAATTGAGGTCATGTGTAAAATTCCAAATGGAATTACAGGAAGATTGTCCAAAATAGTTTGGTTCAAAATGAAAATATTCCAAACACATGGACCAAATTCAAATTGGAAATAATCTATATTCCTCTTGATTAGCACAGAAAATTTATATCTGAATAATTTATATCTTCTACATCCAAAGGAAAAAGAAAAATGTGAAATAAAGTGTGAGGTGAGGCAATTCTTTGCACATAAGTATAGTTTTCTGAAAAACTTGAAATACAAAATAATATACCAGTAAATTGAGGTTCTCTTTCTGATTTGTATGCTCCTCAAATATGTTCAACTGTTGAATATTTTTCAGTGGAAGTTGCACTGGAAAGGAGTCTTTTATATCTTGAGCTTGAGCTGGAGCTCCCTGTTTATTGAAAAGGGTATTCTGAATTTCATCTAATTTACCAATGACCAATTTGTTTTGTTCTTTCACTTGGTTTACCATTGAAACCAATGTCTTGATAGCTGAAAAAATATTGCAATAATAATTTCAATTTAATTTCATAAGATTTACAATACAAAAAATAAGTGCAATCGATTTCATAGTGCTTGATAAATCCTTAATAGATCCTTAATAGTGTGAGCACAGTAACAGTAATTTTCAAATCTTGGTGAAACACTAATAATAATCATACATAGATTTTACAGGGTATAAAATTTTACAATTGCTCTAAGTTAGCCTCAATGAAATCAGACAGACCAGAAATGTTCTACAACAGGCACCACTATAATTTCATCAAAGTGGAATTATACTTGTAGCTGTAGATGATGGCAGATGAACTTACACCTCAAGCAGATCCATTCTAATAGTTCATTTGAAATACTTCTAAAATGTCTGTTTTTCAAATTTTGTGGAAGTAAGTTCATGATTTTAGGTGCAGTAAAAGAGTCATAAATGATCAGTATGAAAAAAGTTTGTGGCATAAACCTGGATTCTATGTGACCAAGATCCATTCAACAGAGTTCAAAAAAATGACATACAGTTAAATTTGGTACTTTACATTAGTTAACTTACCTGACTCTGAAACTGAATTGTTGCCTGGAGATGGCGCACAAAAGCTTAATGATGGTTGTGAAAACTCATCCAAATGTTGTGTATTGTACTGGCTTTGCTCAGATGACTGCTGAACTGGTAGCACAAGCTTTCGACCAGACACAGACTTCAAACTATAATTTTGACTCGATGATGATTGTGAGAACTCATCCAAATGTTGTGTGTTGTGCTGGCTTTGCCCAGATGACTGTTGAACTGGTAGCACAAGCTTTTGACCAGACACAGACTTCAAACCATAATTTGGATGTTTTGTTTCTACTGCACCTGAGTATAATTATGAAAAATATTGTTTTGTACTATCATACAAAAAGTTACTACTACTACTACTGCTACATGTGCAAAAAGCATATTTGTCGCACTCAGCATGATTGCAGCTCTTGACTTCATCTTGAGCTGCAAACTTCATGCATCATGTAACAAAATAAATATTATACACTTTTTGCACTAGTTGCACAAATGACTTGAAACTGCTCATTGAAAGAAAAAAGAATACAAGGGTGGTGTTACTCGAAGTAGATATATACCTGACAGCTTTTTAATTTTTATTTTTGGGGGTCTAGAGTATCTCTCTTCTTCACTTCCACTACTTTCTATCACCTTCTTATATGTTTTTCTGGGTTGTCTTGTTAACGTTGACTCATCAATATCTGTGTCAACTAGATCACTGGTGACCTCAGCCTCTTTCCCTCTCTTGAAGGCTTTTTCCAACTCATCTAAAATAAAAATGTTTGAAAATAATTGTGTTGCTATCTCCAAATGTATAATTTGTTGATAAATATTCCAGGTAATTTTTTATATGTGGTTAAATACACCTTCAATGTGATAATATTTACAGTGACCCAAAATCATTTTACACCCTAGTACAGTGCATTCATTTTAATTTGTCCCACTTTCTTATGAATCTAATTCACTCAGTTTCAGAACTAGAAGGTTGACTGAAAAAATTAATAATAGGATTTTGCATAAAGTTTCATGCAGTTTTGTCAAAAACTATTTCAACTGTCAAATGTCAAAGTTATTGACATATATCTATCATTTTTCAATGAGACACCCTATATATTATTGGAAATTCCAAAATATGTTTTCCTGGTCATGAAAATATGCTACACATGACATTTCTTTGCATTAGTTTAATAGTTTTTCCATAGCTACATTCATTCTGACATTTGGAACATTTCAATTTTTTGAACTAATGGTGTGAAACTTCAAGTGAAATCCTATAATTTCAATTTCTATCATTTAATCAACCTTCTAGCTCGAAAAATACATATTTTACAACCATCTGAACCATCACATATAAGTGAGACAAATTGAAATGAAAACACTGTACAAATGAAAGGAGGTAATTCTTTGGCTTATTTCATGAAAACGCTTAGTTACCGATCTACAGGGTGTTAAAATTTCAAGATTTTTTAGTTTTTTCTTTATAGTTCCCAACTTCCAACTGTTTTTGAGATATTCTGCTAATATTTTGAATACAGATTATGCTGTAGGGTTCACATCATTGGGCATATCAAATGGTTGTGAGAATCTACAGGGGTCTTTCCCCCTTTTATTCCCCTGAACTTCTTTAGGGTGCACCACTGATGGATTCTAAAATACAAAATACGTTTCTTGTTTCATTCAGAATAGTTTAGTTCACATGTAGTTTTTTTGTATATACGACTGTTAAGGAGAAAAATAATATAAAATGTTCAAAATGGTCTAGTAGGCTCTGGAATCATTTGTTTTTGATAATTTTGACTAGTCAGCACTATCTTTTGTTAATCAAAGCTGAGATGAGCTGGAAAAACGACAGGAACAATGAAGAAAAAACTAAAAAAAATCTTGAAATTTGAACACCCTATAGATCGGTAACACAGCGTTTGCGAACCTATGTTTATTTATGAACTTGCAGTCATGGAATGAGCAGAGGAATTACCTAGTGTTGTTTGCACATGATATTTAGGAACACCCTGTATATACACTCAACACAATTATAGAAATTACATTATGAGTTTGATTTCTTGCGATAGTAGCTTGGGTGAAGAAATACGGTAATCTTCCAGAGCTTTCTTTTTGGAGCTTCTTATATATAAGAAGCTCCAAAAAGAAAGCTCTTATTAATACCTAATTTATAGTCATTTCGTACATCGGACAGTTATTTCACTACACAATGAATTGAAAATATATTACTCACCAGTTTGATAGAAAATTCTATTTACACCAAACAATTTCCACTGATCAGCGTCGATCGCTGCCCCTTCACAGAGCGCCCTTTTGAAAGTTTTGCTATCCTTAAATGGCGGCCAAAACACCTCCTTTTTTAACGGCGTCAGCCAAGTTTCATGGACGACAGCAACACTGTTACTTCCACTATCGTCGAATTGTATTACACAATACATCATAACTATTTTCAAGTGAAAAATAACATACTGTATAATACCCATATAATACCACTCAAACACTTCAAGCACTCAACATTTGTGATTTTAACCAGACGCCGTTCACAAACAACGCCCATTCGCATTCGGACATGGACGATAGACATGAACATGAAATGAACGGGAAATGGAAATGCACGATGCAAGCGCTTGACGCTGAACCACAGACCGGACCGCTGAACGGCACTAACGCCACTAACGGCAGTGGCGAGATGGTCGCGAGTCGCATACACAATTTCTTCGCGTACTTGATCGCCATTGACCATCTGGGTAATGTGAGAATTGTCTTTGGCGCTAAATTTAAACATTGAAAATTAAGGGAAGCCTATGGAATAAAATACATTTTTATTATACATTTATACAGTTGGATAGATTAATTATTGATTTATTTCATAACTTCGTTTTCCTATACATACATATAATAATAATAATAATAATGATAATAATAATTATAATAATAATAATAATAATAATAATAATAATAATAATAATAATAATAATAATAATAATAATAATAATAATAATAATAATAATAATAATAATAATAATAATAATAATAATATTAATAATAATGATAATAATAATAGTGATGATAATAATGATAATGATAATTATACCCAAAAAAATATGAAGACCATAGATTGACGTCTATACGACGTCAAACAGGGGCTGTCCATAAGACGTCACATTAATGACGTCCGCATGACGTCATATTTTGGTCAAAAGACGTATGAGACCAAAAAAGACCTTAGATAGCGGTCCTATAGACGTCACATTCGTCAGTCTGGCTACCTGGGTAGCCGCTAGTGAAACTATCAATTTTCACGTACTTCCAGGAAACAGTCCGCATATGGGAGGCCTCTGGGAGGCCGGAATTAAATCCGTAAAGTCCCATATTAACCGCGTCATTGGAAGTCAAATACTAAATTATGAAGAGTTTTACACATTTTTGGTGCAGGTGGAAGCGATTTCGAACTCCAGACCATTGACTCAAACGAGTGCAGACCCAAATGATATTTCGGCACTGACCCCAGGTCATTTTTTAACGCTTGAGGTACTCAGTGCGCTTCCTGAATATGATTTCACGGAGACTCCCATTGGTCGTCTGACCCGATGGCAACTACTGCAACGTTTGCACCAGGATTTCTGGAGACGATGGCATGTAGAGTATCTGCACACGCTTCAACAAAGAAATAAATGGTTGAAACCCGAAACTCCCGTTTCTACCGGAACATATGTAGCTATCAAAAATGATAATTCTCCTCCAATGAATTGGCCATTAGGGCGTATAATTTCTTTACATCCTGGTGCAGACGGAGTAACTCGCGTCGCTTCGGTGAAGACGGCTAATGGGACTCTGCGACGTCCACTTGTCAAGTTATGCCCCTTGCCGATATCATAGATTTTCTCTCTGCTAACACACCTAATTGTCTATCTATAGATAATGTTTCCCGTCAACAAGGAAATAATTCTTTATATGTTTGTTCGTATTATCATAATTCTTTTTTGTTTTTCATTTATTCTTCAATTTGAGTTAATATAATTGATACATTAGTTTCACTTAAAATGCACCTGCTTGTTGTGCATTTTGTCAGGGGAGAATGTTGTGTATTCTTCGTCCCTAATATGCAAAACATATAGCCAATAATGTTTATCCATATCAAATGTATCTATTTCAATTTAAAATTGCTTAAATGTCACTAGGCGACCAGGCGCATGCGCCACTACCGAAGAACATTTTGACTTCCTGAACCGGGTACGAGGTGAGAGTTCTACCGGCATTCAGATACCTACTTGTTTTCTCATTATTGATTTCGCTCGCTACATTCGCCCTGAAATTCAGGATCTTTTCTTACACTGTAAGTTGAATTCGGTTTAAAATACGCGTACGTATATAATTGTGAACGCTCCTCGTTCGTGTATTTTTCTACAAAGTGCGCCTTTGGGACTCTGCAACTGCTCCCAAGTTGCATTCAACACCGGCTGGCACCCAAGGGCCCTGAGAACAGCCAGCCAGAATCTGGGTGACACCATCAAGATCACCTTTCCGAACATTATATAGGGAGTCTGGTAAGTCGTCTAGTGACTATAAATATCGCAGTCGTTCAGTTTGGATTTTTGAGATTAAAAATAATTCCCATTGAAATCTGATTAAGATACAATCCATTCATCTCTCAATTTTTTTTTGAGCTAAAGAAAGTTCAAAGCCGTTAAGCCATGATGCTAGTTTAGAGGCAGGAGAATTGCAATAGGATACAACTGGTCTTATGGGTATGTTATTTTTATGAATTTTAGGTAAACCATATAAAAGAGGGGTGGAAGGATTCATAGGAGTCAACTTGAGTTTTGATGAGTGGTAAAAATTGATAGTATCAATACAGGTGTTGAATATAGATTTCATGTTATTGTAGAATTTTGAGGTAGGATCGGTTTTTAATTTTGAAGAATTATCTGAGTCCAAGAACTGAGTAACTTTGTGACAGTAATATAACCTATCAAGAATGACAATGCAGTTACCCTTGTCAGCCTTCGTTACCACCAAATTATTGTCTTTGATAATCTCTGTAATATTTTTTGAGATTCTGATATCCATATTATTGTTGAAAGAGCCACTAGGTTTACAAAAGTTATTATTCAATGAGGAGGCAACTTCACTCCTTACTAAGTCTTTGCTGAACGTATCATAGACAATTTTGAATTTTCCGTAAATAGGTGATATCTATGAATCGAACAATACTTTGGAATATTTTTCATGAAAACTGTTTTTTTCAAAATCCAATATTGGTGGTTCACATACATGTCGGTCCAAACGATGGATTTTATTCGAAATTCAACTCATACTGTCCCGAAATGAATTTATGCATTCAAACGAGTTAATCCGACCTGAGACTCAATGAACTTTTCTCACTTGAAAAATGGGGTTTTCTCTACAACTGTCCCCAACCTCATCTCCCAAATATCAAGTCAAAGGCCTCGATTCCCGTAAATAGGTGATATCTATGAATCGAAGAATACTTTGAAATATTTTTCATGAAAACTGTTTTTTTCAAAATCCAATATTGGTGGTTCACATACATGTCACTGCTCATTGCCAAAAACTCAATGGCTTAAGGTGATAGCTCTCATTGATTTCTAGAAACAGATTTCAAACCTGAACAAACACAGAACGCATAGAACATGACAAAACCTCAAAGTCTATGTACTACCTGAGTCACATAAGTACCATCTTTCTGGTTATGACTACATAAGGAAGAATCTTGTGAGAGGTATATCAACTCGGATTGAGCCTACAAGAGTTACAAGACAATCATCCAAAATATCAAGTCAGGGTACCTGCCGCAGTGAATATAGTTCATTGGTTCTGTTCGGTAATCGGTAATCTGACATTTCAACTATCGACGAGCTGATCATACCACTGACAGAATCTTCAAGCTGGCAGCTCAGACAACACAAACGGTTGATTTCATGAATGATTCTCATAGAAGATTTGTTTTGAATGAAGGTATGTATAATATTCACACGATATATACACAATGATGTGGGTTTTCTGATTTCGAGATATATGATAATATTGCGTTTGATGATCTTCAATTCGGAAGAGGTTTATGTAGATATGGAGATAAACACTCTTGACAAGTAGAAATCAAATCATGGCTAGTAGAGTCTAGGCAAATAAGTGATCTAGGTACAATTATCATCTAAACCTGAACAGAGGTGGCGTTACGAGATAGCTGACCAGAAACCCAGCAGAGGTCAATAGGCGATACATCTTGAATCTTAGGTCTTCGCAAGATCAGTGAATCAATTGATTGAAAACGGTATGATAGCTGAACGTGAACGTTACCAAGGATGTTCCATCGACAGCCACGTCGGTCATTTGTTCTCTCTAAGAATGAAGGAGGCATTGTTTTCACACAGGAAGTAGATATTATCACAAAATAATAATGACAAAATCTCTCGAAACAAAGGAGACATTGTTATCATTCATTGCGTCGCAGATTTCTTGAAATCAGTGACATCTGACTCCATATAAATAGAATATGAATTACATCTAGATTAGGTTCGGAAAAGTATCTTTTTCACGGAAAAATGAATCAGTAAAGAACGAAAATTGGGATGACATGACTGAATAACATATCATGTAATAATCAGGTCAATTCTATTCGCTTACAGCATTATTATGATCTTATCGTTATTGTTTTGTCATTTTGTCTCTTTCAGAGTACATTCATTGTAGGAAACATGCTTATTGAATCATTTCTCATACACAGTTATGTGTTCTACAATACGTCAGCCCATTCTGCTTGTTTGCATCATTTCATCTCGCGTGAAATTGCGCTGATATCTGCTCCTGACTCACTTGGACATTATTCGAATGCCTTCATAGTGTGATATACATGTCTCTTCGACTGGAAACGACCCGCACTTTTTCGTGCTACCAGAATGCCCATCATTTCAAGAGACAGCAATAAACGAAGGTTCCTGCTTCTGGTTCCATTCGATCACCTTCGACCAACTTCGGTCATCCGCGGCTTAGTTTCCTTCAATACCACCTCGTATATCTGAAGATCAAGCAGGTGTCATATCGGAGGTGTTATCCATCTAGTTTTATGCAATCCTACTTATTAAGTGTAGAAACTCATATACGAATTGCATCAGATGTTCATTTCGATTTGTGTATAATAAATCGATACGTAGATTCAACTACTATCTATCGAGTTAAATCTGTTAGACGTGAATAGTCTACACTCTCGGGACATGTATTTTTTGTTGATGATCGTTAGTTTAGGATCATATTGTATGTTCATTCTTATGTGTTGTTTACACTCCGTTTACCATTGTTCCTGATATTTTTGCGTTCATATAAATTCAAACAAAAAAATCGCATGTTTTCCCAGATTAATCCCATGTATCATAGAGAAGATAGTGATGTAGGTGCAAATTCAGAGATATTATTCATCGAGTTAATTCTTCTCAACCCATTATACATTAGTCATTTTATGTGTTGATGCGATATTGATTATCACCCTATATTTTTGTATAATACGCTGTAGGTGCAGAGTGATAATATAAATTCATTCATCTGTATGCTAGTTGTTCCATTAATCATTGCTAATCGGATGAACTTATGTCAATTCGAATCGATTTTTCATGTTATTTTTTCTCGAGTTGTTTGGATTATTTCTCTCATTCTTGTAGATACCTCACAAACATTGAAACCTCTCTTTCGAGTACCCACACGATCATGTTATAGAGATAGGATGAAGTTGTTCTTCTATGGCTCACATCATAGTACCTTTTGCCCCGAAAGTACGTCCTTGTTGATGTTATCAGGATTAAAATTGAGGATACATTCGTTGATACCATTGTTCGATTTGTCGCAAATCATCGGCATCCATATCTTCTTCTGATATCACCCATTCCTGTATATAATGAGTCAAAGAATATTCTAGAGATGTCTCATATATAACATATGTAAGTCAACTACTATTTCACCTCAGTTTTTCACCAGTTTTTTTCTTCACCCTGTATATGTCCTTCGCTTTACGTTTTTGGTTATCACCAAAAGCTTTTCGAAAAGTGAATTGATTTATTGAACACAAAAATGTCGAAGTTTTATTAAAGAGAAAATTACAATGCGTCTTCACTGTTTGAAGTCTATGTCAAATCTGATGAGAACTAGTCGATGAACGTCTCGTATCCTGCGAAGCGTTAACTGATTCTGCATCCGTCAGCAGTCTCAGCATATCCCGTGAGAACATGGTAGTTTATGATGTTCCCATACATAATTCTTCCAACCTTAGAAGGAACTCGAGGGTGGAACCACTTGAGTTGCGTTGACTGCTACCCTAGTGTCTTCTTCTGGCGTGGAACAGACTACTCGTTTGGCTAGGCTTGCTATCTTTCTTCGGTGGGTGGCTAATAAGTAGACTAACATCGTGGTAACCAGGAATAGGGTGACTGTTAAGGACCATCTTGAATGATCGGAATGAATTTTAACTTCTTGTAATGGTGTTTCTTCTAACTCTTGCAGTTGAAGTTCGTGCAACTTGTCAAGAGATACTTTTTCTAGCTTAAGTGTCTTGACTTGTAGTATTGGAATGTTGGTTTCACGAATCGCTTCTAGCGTCATTGGATGTCCTACTATTGGGACTTTTTTATTTTTGTACGTGTATTCCGATGTCTTGATTCCATAATCTGGCAGGACTATGAATAGGTAGCTTCCACGTAGTATGGCAACGTCGTTTTCTTCGCAAAAAATCTGTATCTTTTCGTTTTCGGGAAATATTCCTATGTAGTGGCTTTCATTGATTCCTTCTATGATGTGTTGAGATACTCGTACTGGGACTTGTTGGCAATTTTGAATGCTGTTTCCGACAGAAAGCAGTGACGTGATATAATCGGGGTTTTGTCGAAGTGGTAGTAGGTGGTTCTTCTTGCCGAGGAATCCTGGCTGTAGCTCGGTACATTCTTCATCTGAGTACTGGTATTCATTGTTGCTTAAGGATAGGTATGTCGAGGGAGGTATAATGATTGACTGGTTTTGGTTTGGAATAGAATATAGGTGGTAATAGTCAAAGGTTTCGGAATGAACCAACGGAAAATCGAGCGGAAATATTATTTTCCTATTCGAGTAGAAAACACTGGTTCGAACAATGTCGTAATATTTTAGGTTATCTGTCAAAGAAAATAGTAGTTGAGATTCGCTATGTGACTGATGTAATTGAGATATTATGTATTTTAATTCATCAGGGGAAATAATGCTGTGATGTAAAACTTTCAAGTTAGCGAAGCTTATAGCGTTT